AGTATTCCTTATGATGTGTAGTATTCCTTAGGATGCATAGTATTTCTTATGATGTAGTATTCTTATTATTTTTAGTATCCCATATGTGGGATGGGTAGTATTCTTTATAATTTGTAGTAGTCCTTATGTTGCGTAGTATCCAATAACATGTAGTATCCCTTATGATGTGTATTATCCCATATGTAATGTATCCCATATGTGAGTAGTATATCTTATTATGTACTTTGTAAATGGTAAATGGACTGTACGTATATAGCACCTTTCTATCTGATCAAGACACTCAAATCTCTTTACAACACAATCTGTGTCCTCATTTACCCATTCATCCAGCACTCTACTAGATCTACAAAGCTAATTGAACAAATCATTCTAAAGAGAATAATAAGAGCTTTATCACATTCATACATGGATGGGACACACATCGGAGGCGATGAGGTGTTCAGTGTCTTGCCCAGGGACACTTCAGCATGTGACTGCTGGTGAATTTGAATCTCCAAGTCTTGCGTTAAAGGACTTCTCTAACCATTCAGCCACAGCTGCCCATGTGTAGTATGTGTGGCATCCCATATGATGTGTAGTATCCCCTATGTGGAGTAGTATATTTTATGGTTTGTAGTATTTTGTAATATGCGTGGCATGCCGTATAATGTGTAGCATCCTGTATGGCATGTAGTATTCAGTAATATGTGTATTGGTAGTATCTCATATGATGAGTAGGATCTCTATATATGGTCAGAAATGTTAAGAAAAGTTAAACTAGAGAAAGTAGGAGGCAGTATTTGCAATCGTAGCAGGAGCTTCCACTCTCCACCGCCTGCACTGGAAAGCACAGACAAGACGTGCAGCAGCAGAAACATCCGACTGCAGAAAGAATACACACCAGTCTCACGCAGATGGTTCTTTATTCACTGTATATGATCAAGCTTTAGGATGCAAATTCTTTATCTCAATCCTCATTTCACGTTGTCAGATTTTAATTGATGTTGGTAATTATCCTAAATTGCTGCTCTGTGTGGGTGAATCCTGCACAGAGAGGTACTCAGTAGTTCTTTCCTTCTGCCTAATGAGTCATTCTCAGGTGCTGTTTGACTGCAGCCGTCACAGTCTGTAATCTTGTGCACTGACTGATAATCATTTAGCTCTAATTGGATTATATAGAAAGGAGCATTCAACTTTTTCATGTGTTTCGTGGCCTCTGGCTCCCCACATGTGGGCCAGTTCTGTATGGAGACAGGGACTCTGTGGGTCATCATCAGTAGGTGTTAAGAAACAGCAGAATAGTTTATGAAACAGACCCCAAGCTACTCGTCCACCAGCTGGACCAGCAACGATGAAGTTTGCACACTCACTAAAAACAGGAATGTCAGAGCAATGGAAGTATTTCAGTCATGTATTTGGTTGGGTCTTTAGAAAACATCGCATAGAAAATAAATAGAGTACAAATCTTCTTGTATTTTCTGAAGTTCAAACGTAATCAAATTTACCAGAGTGCACCTTGAATACTTACCACATAGCCAGATGTTTTTAACAGCTCTAAACACATTTTTGGATCAAGTTGGATTATTTTTCTTGGCTACATACATAGAAATAATTTTATTTAGTTAATTTACTTGCTTTTACATGATTTTGAAGCATAATGCCATAATTTTCAAAACATTTGAAGTCAAGAATTTCAGAAAAGTATTTAAAAAGGCTAATTGTGTGAAAGCCGACTCAGTTTTTGCATATGCCCGACAGACGTAGGCGGACGTATTATAGTATAATCTCTGTCTGTTCGTCCATATGTCCGTTAACGTTCTCTTTTTGCACTTTTCATCACCACTGCTTCAAGGTCAAGGTCACAAATAAAGGTCAAATGTTATAAGGTCTTTGCTTGTCCAGACCATTGCTATAGATTGCTTTATGGGAAGCACGATATTGGATATTTGGCCGATATCCGATATGCCGATATGTTAAAAATCATTTTGCCGATAACCGATACTGATACCAATATTTTATATACTTTCCTTTGTCAGAACATAGCCTTCTTATTTAATCTTATTTGGTACAAAAATTGCGTAACAGTTGTAAGAGCTGGTGACATATATTCAGTAACAGCCATATTATATGTATAGCACTTTAACTTATATTAAATGAAAAGTGTTAAATATTATTTTTTAGCATTAGTCACCTGTGATGCTGTTTCACTTGTGGAGGCTTGTTCCAGGTTCCTATAGCTGCAGTTTGGAATCCTCTGCACTCCTGTGCATGAAGGACAGCCTTATTAAGCTCAATGTTTTTGTCTATCCATTGTGTCGTAAGACTAATCATGCTAACGGGGCTAACACGACGTCTAAATGTCTGTGGTAAAACTCACCCAAGTGCTATCGGCTATTAGCTTCTCAATGATGTCGGAAATGACGGCTTGTAAATCGGGTAAGGCTACGGTGGAAAAACATCTCAGACTGGGGACGATGTAGCGAGGCTCAATGTAGTCCAAAAATCTTCGGAATCTGACATCCTCAACGAAAAAAAACTTCTACACCGCCGACATTTTGAATTTTCCTCTCCGCCGTGAGATCAGGTAGGTGCGTGACGTCATCAGGTTGTGCTGCAGCTGCAGACATCCTTGTCACTGGGTTGTCATATAAAAATAGCGTCTTTTATATTGGTGAGTTATTTTGATGGAATGGCCGATGTCCGATATTTAACTTTAATGCTAATATTGTCCGATACCGATACCATGCTGATAATATCGTGCATCCCTGTTTATAATAACTTGTCATCATGTGTATAATGCGTTGTTTGTAGTACTCTTGGTACTCAACAGGATTAAAGCCACAATAGACTTTTTTCTTTTATTCTTTTCAGAATTATAACTTTAATCTCAGATTTCTGACTTTTTAAATCTGAATTCCGAGCAAAAAAGTCATAATCCAGAAAAACATAATTTTTTTCCATCGTGGCTCTAATTCTCTTCCACAGTGTTTGTTTTATATTTTCTTCTTCACATTTTTTAGCTTTTAAACAATTTCAGTATACTTTGTGCCGTTTTAAACTTTCATTCATCAGAACATTTTAGCTTGATTTGGATTAATGTGTTATGGTTTTTTACTACTTGTAACTTTTACTCCTTTTAAAGCATTTCGCTTTGTTTAATTAAAAAAATTCCCCGTAGAAATTCACTGAGATATCATCACTTCCTGCAACAGCATTATTCCCTGAAATCGGTTTCAGCTTCTTCAACACAGTTCATCTGAAGTCATTCATTATTAACAGTTATTAAACCAGACAAATCTTGTTGAGATCACAGATCTCATTTTCAAAGGAGGCCTGAACCTGAAGGCAACCTGACGTGCATGTTGTTAGACTGTGAGAGGAAACTGGAGCACCTGGAGAAAACCTGTGAGGAGAACATGCAAACTACACCCGGAAAAACCGCAGGTCCAAACTGGGGATTGAACCCAGGACCTTCTTGCAGTGAGGCATCAGTATTAACCACTAATCCACCATGCTGCCCACATAAGTAATACCTAGTTTAGACAGAAAATCCATATTTCTCTCCTTTTGGAGCACAAAGCTTTGATTCAATGATGAAAACTAAACTGCCGACCTTCTTAAACAGGGTTGTAGATGTATTTCCAACTTTCTGGGAGTTTCATTAAAAGTTCTACAGTGGTTTATGATACATTTTGCTAACAGATTGAACTACATGATTGTCAGTTGTCATAACTAACATTCATGCCTGCACTTGTCAGCTGATCTTCTTACTAAGTGTCTGATATTGAATTAAAGATGTTTTTAAAATCACACATTTAAATCAAACAAAAGGTGGCGATAGTCGTGTCTTTGGTCTCTTTAGGATGCAATGGACAATTTAGTAGAGGGATTTAAAGTTGCTTTCTTCCTTTTAAACTATTCAGGTCACTAATCTGCTGCAGAGCAACATATCAGTCTCATATTTCAGCACAAATACTGTATTCAGTTTCACTTTCCTAAAATCTGCATGAGATTGCAGACAACAAACACTAGTCTGTACTGTCTGAAGGAGCTGATTGAACAGCAGCGAGATAAACGTTCAGAGTCTCGTTTGACCTCATTAAGGAGGGTGTTATAGCTCCCACATGAGGGCGAACCTTGACTTTATCGATTTGCTGAACGCGTCTCTGCAGCAGATCTCAGGGAGGCTGATAATTGGTTGTCTGCTGTGATTGAGACGAAACGTTTCACAAAGTTTATAGACTCTCTTTGGTCACATCAACTCTCTCTTCCTCACTTTGTTGGCCTCTTAGCGTTGGAGGCAATATC